GGTTCGTTTCCTGGTCAGGGGACCACACTACCCATCTGTCGGTTGTCATACTGTGGCTGCTGCGTGTTGCTGTGATGCTGAAAGCGATGCCACCGGTATTTCAAATGCCAGCAGGGTCACCTATGGTGGACAGGTTTCAGCAGAGCTTCCAGACTAAGACAGACTAGGAAGAAAGACCTGGCCACCCACTTCTGAAAAAATTGGCCATGAAAACCCTCTGAACAGCAGTGGAGCATTGTCTGATAGAGCACTGGAAGGGGAGAGGATGGCACAAAAAGACCGGACAGGGTTCCGCTCTGCTGGACACAGGGTTTTCCGGAGTCAGAATCCACTCTAGGGAACTAATAACAACGACTCAGCTAGCTTGCCTCTTGGGCTTTTTGCCCTTTGTCCTTTGCCATTCTTCCTGGACTATGGACGTGTTACTTGGTGGTCAAGCAGCCATCTAAGCAGCGTAAAGACAGAAGCCAAGCATGATGGTGCTTGAAGCTAGGAGGAGCCTGGCTGCCCTTGGCACTATGGAGATATTGTACTAAGCCTGGACTGCTTTCCCCCGAACTTCTTCATTATGCGAGAAAAATAGGCTCCTCATTAAACCTCTGTGGTCAAGTTTCTATTCTGTGCAGCTGGATACGTGCTAACTGACATAGTTGTACACTGACGTTTATCTTTTCAAAAATTGTGAAATTTATCATGCATAGAACGATTGAAACTCATAAATAGGATTTAGAAATAGAGTAAAAGAAGTTCCCCAGCCGCCTCCGCCCGGATCCTGCTCCACTCTCCTCCCCCAGAGGAGAGAATCATCCTTCCTGACTTATTGTGGCAACATTTTTCCAAAATCGTTGTTATTCCCTTTAAAAATTAGTCTCCTGTTCTTATTTGTTAAAAATAAGTTCCATTATGAGAATAAACAAGATTTTTACAAAAGCAAAACTCTACAGGGATGAAGAGGTTGGGAGCTAAAATAACACCACAATTTTAGAAGCAAGAAAGCAGATGGACAAGTAGTTATTGACCCAGCAGCCCAGGAGAGGCTGACGCTTAAGTTTCCAAGGGGGTTCGGGAGACCGAGAAGCAAGCTAATCTCTGGTGTGAGACTCAGAAAGACTCAGGATTTGGAGCCAACCCATACCTCTGAAAGGGGGGTGTAAGTGGGGCTGGAAAAAAAGAAGTTCCATCAAAAGTGGGTGTATCAGTCAGCATCTAATCAGGAGACAGAAACCACACCAATTATTTGAACAGAAGAAAGTTAATTGTTAACTAGGCATAAAGTTGTTAACTGGGTAACTGAAAGGGTAAAAGGAGAACTCTAAGGTATCATGGACACAGTAACTACAGGAACAGCCACAATACTCAGGGCTGGGGAAAAAAGGAAAAAGGATGGAATTAGCAGAACCTAGAAGCTTGGAGGAGGGGCCCATGGGGCTGCGACCCAGACCTCTGAGAAGAGCTTGCCGCTCAGCTGGTGCTGGTGTCTCTGGCGTGGGGCATGATGAGGCTGGTTCTGCGAGTAGCAAAAACACTGCAAACCGACCTCAACTGTTGCTGCAGGAAGGAACTGCTGCTGGGGTGAGGAAGCATTGCTGGGTGCTGCTCGCAGCAGTGGGAAGACAACAGGAAGCAGCTTGTCCCTTCTTTGCCCAGCCTTCCAGTTTCCCTCTGATGCCCTCTATGGACAGAGCCTAACAAGGAACAGCTGGCAAAATTACTGTGGTTTGCAGAGTCCCAACCCCAGTGTCACAAAGCTGAGGACAGATGGGTTGGGCTTAGAGCTGGGAGACAATAACGTAACTGGCAGTGCTGGTATCAGAAGCAAGTCTATGCCCAGATCTCCAACCTGAGCAAGGCAACTGCTGCTCCCTCCACTCCGGCTGAATACTGAAGTATATTCTCTGGAGGGTAGGCAGTCTCTGGGCTGGGGGACGGTAAGCATGTTGAGAGTGGGATCCTATCCTGAAAACAGGGATTAAGCGAAGGCTTACTAAACATCAGGACCTCAGCCCTCTTCTCCCAAATGCCCTCCACTGAAAGCCAGATATATATTCTCCAGGCAGGGGATTGGAAGCTGCTTCGCTGTGAACCTGACAGCCAAGACAAAAGACCTAAATATCCTGACATCAATATAATAGACTAGTTAGGTTACAGTGAAGTCTATACCAATAACCCCCACCAAGCTCTCTTCCAATCAGGTTTTTAGGTTATAATCTTAAATGTGAGCAGATAGTCTAGCGCTACCAGACATCTCAGGAAACTCTCTAAGGTGGAAGACAGAGGCCAAAACATTGAGAAAAGAAGAACTTGGAGGAAACAGAGACTATGCTGAGATACCATCTTTGATATTTAACATTTTCTGAGAATAAGAGAAGATATTGCAACGAAATAAAAACATTTAGAGAATAGGAAAGAACTCTTAGCAATTAAAAATAGGATAGCAGAAATAAAAAACTGAGTAGGAGGATTGGAAGCTAAAGTTGAAGAAATCTCCCAGAATGTGGAGCAAAAAGACAAAGGAATGTTGAGGCCAGACCCATGCCCTAGTGGTTAAGTTTGGCATGTTCCACATCCATGGCCCAGGTTCAGTTCCTGGGCACAGATCTACACCACTTGTCAGTGGCCATGCTGTGGCAGCAACCCACATACAAAATAGAGGTAGATTAGCACAGATGTTAGCTCAGGGTGACTCTTCCTCCCCCCCAAAAAAAAAAAAAAAAAAAGACAAAGAAATGGAAAATAGGAGATAAAAGATAATAAAATCATTGGGTCAGTCAAGAAGTCCAACATATGAATAATATGAGTTCCAGAGTGAGAACACATGGAAAGTGGAAGGATAGAAATCATCAGAGAAATAATTCAAGAAAGTTTCTCTGACTTGAAGGATATCAGTTTCCAGATTGAAAGGGCTCACTGTGTATCCAGAACAAAGGCTGAGAAAAACACAACTATACCAAGGCACATAATCATGAAATTTTAGAACACGGAAAAGATCCTATGAGCTGTAGAGGAAAAGAAATTAGTTACACCAGGCTAGGGCCAACCTCAGGAATCTTTGTTGGAGACCTCAATCTGCCACCCAAGTACTCTAGCAATAATTATATGCAACTATAATCAATACCTATCACTTATTAAGCTCCAAAGACTTTACATGTGTCATCTCTCTTAATTTTAAAACATCCAACAAACCAAATAATCCTATCCCATCTTACAGATGAGGAAATTGGAGCTCTAGGAGGTAAATGACTTGAATAAATTCATACAGCTATTAAGAGTTAATAGCTAATATATATTTAATGCTCACCATGTGCCAGGCTACATGCTGTAACAGACTCCCTTGGTTGTCTAGCCAACAGCCATCCACCCCTTACCTGATAACAGAATCCTAACTTTGTTCAGATATCTTATCTCCAGCATGATGGTCCAAGCCAATCAGAGTGATCCTATTCCCCTTTGTCAGTAGTAAATTAAAGGCAGACTTGTGACCCAGCTCTGGCCAAAGATGTGGGAAGGGAAGGCGGTGAGGAATTTTGGGGAAAGGCTTTCTTACTTTTAAAAAGACACAAAAGAGATGACTCTCTTCTGCTGCTACATGTTGTAGTGTCTGGATGTGATGTCTAGTCCTATGGCAGCCATCTTATGACCATGAGGGTAGACACTGTAGGAAAGCCTGCAAGCTGAGGTTGGAAGAGCGTAAAGCTAGAAAGAACCTGGGTCGTTGATGAACTAACCAATTCTGAAGCTTCCCTACTTTTGGACTTCTTGTTAGATGAAATAATAAATTTTATTTATTACTTTAGAAAAAAGTGAGTTACATAGGATCCTATATCAGAAGGGGTCTGGACTTCTCAACAGCAACACTTGGAACCTAGAAGATAATGGAGCAATGCCTTCAAAATGCCAAGGAAAATGAATTCCAACCTAGAATTCTCTACCTGCAAAACAATCAATTAGTGTGAGGATAGATTAAAGACATTTTCAGATATGCAAAGTCTCAAAAAATTTGCCTCTCATGCACCCAATTCTCAGAAGCTACCGGAACTGCTTCATCAAAATGAGAGATAAAACCAAGAAACAGAAAGATATGGAAACCAGGAAACAAGGGATGTAACTCAAGAGAGAGGTGAGAGGAGCTCCCAGGATGACAGTGAAGGGAAACTCCAAGACAACAGCTGAGCCCCAGGAGTAGAGAGTGACCAATGTAGATTGGAGCAGGTTAGGTATCTCCAGGAAGGAGTTCTTCAAGGAGATGAAATTGATGGAATACTTGATGAATTTGAACATATTGAAGGGAGATTTAGACAATACAGGAAGATTTGGGGGATGAATTCGTTATGAGTATATAGGAAATGACACAAATGAGAAAACCAGACAACTATTAATTCCAAGAAAAATGAATGAGTGAGGAAAAGGAATTATGGGGTACTACATAGCTTAGCCAGGAATTACGTTTATGTAATCATAATATTGTAAAGAATGAATATTGGTTTAGCCAAATTATGATCTCTCTATATTGGGAGGTTTGGGGAATGGAAAGTGTCACTGAATGTGGTAAGCAAGAAGGGGGGAATTAGTGAAAGAGCAAAAATCTTTGTTTTTCAAATTGAGACATCAATAGATAATGCCTACACTGCACAAGGCAAGAGTTATCACTATAAGCGTGTTATGTAGTGATATGAAGGGAAATAGCAAAAGAAACAGTTAAGAAAGAAGCAAATGGTTGCCTTCGGAGGGTGGAAAATGGCGGCACTGCGGCGCAGAGGACAGTTCTTGTCTTCAGTCTTAGCCTTGTAGAACTGATTGACTGTTTAGGAGTTTGAGTAAGTTTAGTAAAAATAAAAAGTAAATTTAAAACAGGAAACCAAAGAAAAATTTTAAGAAAAAGGAGCCAGTTATTAACTCCAAGGCAAATAAGAGTTACTCAAGAAAGGAAAAAAAACACGAAATGTGCTCAGCTGTAAGTACTAGTTACATAATGTGCCGTCCATGTTCTCTTTGCCTTCCAGATCCATCCCCACTTCTCCACCTGCTCTGTGCCCAGAGACCTCTATGGACTCCACCAACAGGCTCCTGAGCCTTCTGGCTTCCAGGTGGGTTCTGCCCCTGGGGAGCCCCAGCAGAAGCTCAGAGGGAGGGAGGAGGACAGGGTGGGGGTATGTAGTTCCTGGCTCTGTTCCTAGCGTGGTCATCTCCGGCTGGCTGCATGCCTTGACAACGGTTACAGCTGCTACCAAGTGCGCTCTCTGCATACAGCTCTCAGTCTCCGGGTTCTTTGGAAGCCTGACGGAGCCCCCACAGTTTCGCCAGCCCTATCTCTAATGGTTTCCCTATACCCTGCCCACACTTTCACAAATGGTCCCTTATTAAACTCGTCTCAAATTACCCAATTTGAGTGTGCCATCTGTTTCTTGCTGGGACCCTGACTGATACACACAACCGTGAGAATATAAACAGTGAATGTTGACTTAATCAAAAACTCCTGATATATTGGGAGGTGAGGAGCGGAAATATGTGAACATTTGAAGAAGGTGCATGGAAGGGAGCTAAGTCCTCATTTTCTGTAAGAAGGAAATAGATTATATCTAAAAGCAAAAAATTCAGAAAGAGGAGTACATTCATATTATTTAGAAATATGAAAGTAAATCTCAGAAGAAATAGCAAAACATGAGGAAATGACAATCTTTCTGATTTATTATTTGGATATTAGAGGAATAGCTTCAAAAATTGTATTTTGACTGTGGTTTGAGACCCATTAGTAGATTTTGAAATTGATTTTGTGAGTATTAATCAATTCTTTTATTAATTAAAACAGAGTAGAAGTTATCAGCATTTATCTCACGTAGTGAGGGTAAATATGGTTTTGTTAAACTGTTTAGTTCTGTATTTGTGTGTGTGTGATGTAAAATGTATTTCTGCCTGTGAGTTGGGCCAGAAAAGCTTGAAAGTCAGTATTCTAAAAGATAGAATGGTGGCTGAAGACAGGACAGAGAAATAACTGTCATAACCAAATGGGGTTGAAGGGTTATGTTATTCTCTGGGGATGCAGTTACATTTCACGTGGCTGACAGGGGTAGTAATTCACTGCACTGGAGTGAGGCCCTGCCAGGTTAACAGTTCCAGACACAACTCTTCGTATGTGCACTCTGTGCATGATGATGTTCTTGGCTCACCAGCCAATAAAGAAATAAATGCAAAGTCTCTCTGGTGGAATGATATATTGCTTTATCATGGAAGACACTACCTACGAAGAAACATAATTGTTCAGGATGGTGCTGAGGGAATACCACAATAAGGCTAGCAAGCAAGAATAAAAATTACATCCAATACGCTAGGAAATGAATAGAAATCCAGACCTAGTTGCGATTAACTGATACTTAATCTACCAGGCAGGTGATGCAGGGCTTAAGCTAACAGAATTCCTAGCATGTAAAAACAAAAACATCATCTTCTAGGAATAAGCACTTAACTCTCCTTTTGTTAGAGAGGTGAAAAATGAGGTCCAGACTGGTGAAATAAATTGAAAAAGTGTACGGTTTTCAGTCTATGAAAGAAGAGAGTTGAAATCAAATCTTCATGGTACCATATTTATCATAGATAGTTGAAACTCTAATTATGGAATTCCAACTATATTTATTCTATAATTTATGTAATTATGTAAATACATACATTGAGAGGAAAATAAGGAATTAAACCACAATTTTTCCACCAACTTGTGTAAAGAGAATAACAGGTGGCACTGAAAACCCAATAATTCCCATGCACCAGAATGTCCATCCGTTTGAGTTCTTCACAGTTCTAAACACATCGGACTGCTCTCACTGCTGGGTATAAGCTCCGCAGCTCACGTGGCCAACGCTGGGCATGGGACACTCCCACTAGGTTCCTGCTTCCTGCTTCCCTGAAGGCTGGAAGTCTCTCCTTTGGGCTCTGCCATCCTCACTAGAATGGATTCTGTGCCACGTCTCTGCCTTCACTCTCTTCCAAATCAAACTCTCGTGGGAGCATCATTGCATACCCACCCCTGGCTGCAAGTCAGTCTGAGAAAGCAAGTTTCTGCCTTCTGCCTTGGGAGGCAAAATGTACAGAGTCTTCCTAAGATAGGGAAAGTGTTCAGACGTGCCAGTCAGCCAAAAGGCATGGAAAAAAAATGTTCATTTGTTAAGTGAGCCTAAGGCAGAACGTACACAGAGTTCCAGTTTCACGTTGTTGACCTCTCTACAGACTGCCTCGGTGACATTTGAAATATGGCATTTCCCATCCGTTAGAAGGGCACAGTGACTCTCTTCTTGATCTTCCAATGTCATGGGATGCTTGCGTAGGTGGAGTGACCCCAGACAACAGCAACAGCAGCAGGCAGGAGCTAAAGAGGGACACGGCTTAGGAAGTGCCTCCTGACACACACAACACCAGTGATGTGCTGTGCTTATGTTAGTCACTGAGGAAAATCCTGGATTGCGGTTCAGATGCTTATTTGCCTGATAAAACCTCGCACTGAAATAGGACTTCAGTTTCATCTTCAAAGCTGGAACATAAGGTCTCAGCAAGGATTAGTGGTTGTTTTAGTTTCCTGTGGCTGTTGTTACAAATGACCACAAACTGGGTGGCTTAAAACAGCGCGCCTTTGTTCTCTCAGGGTTCTGGAGGCCCGAAGTCTGAAATCAGTGTCGCTGGGCCGACATCAGGGTATGAGCAGGGTCACTCTCTCCAGAAGCTCTAAAGGAGAGCCCATTTCTTGTCTCTTCCAGATTGGCTGCTGGCGTTCCTTGGCTTGTGGCCACATCACTATAATTTCTGCCTCCACCTTCACATCACCGTGTGTGTGTGTGTGTGTGTGTGTGTGAAATCTCTCTGCCCCTCCATCTTATAAGGATAAATGTGATTGCATTTAGGGCCCACCTGGATAATACACGACAATCTCTTCATCTCAAAATCCTCAACTTAATCATGTCTGCAAAGACCCTTTTTCAAAATAAGGTAACATACACAGGTTCTAGAGATTGGGACCTGACATCTTTGGGGAAGATTATTCAGCCTACTGCAGTGGTAGATGAGAAGAAGATAGGACTAGAAGAATCAGGTAAGAGTGGGGCCAATAAATTATGTAATTTGGTCCTTTCCTAAATCCCCTCAGCCAACCTCTGGTGTCCTTGGAATTTGGCAAAACTAAATGTCCCCTGCCCCCAGACTTGGTTCTTGGAGCGATTAATCCCTTTGACATGAAGTTGGCTTCCAAGCTAACATTAGTAAAACCATTTGGAAAGTAAAATAAAGGTTGTTAGTGAAGAACATCTCTTGACCAGTATAGACACAGACCTAGGTTTGGTCTCGCGTGTTTGTTCGCTAGTTACTTTAGACAACTGATTTTTGCTGGTTCAGCTATGGCTAACTACAAACTAACACCAAGGGCTTGTCTGTGATGCTGGGTTTGAATCCTGCTCTGCCACCCCTCATGGTTTGACCTCGGGCAAGTTCTGTAGTTCTCTGTGCCTGTTTTCTCATCTCTAAAATAGGGATCATAATGATAGTCACCCCATGGACTTGTTATAAGGCTAAAATGAGATAGTGTGTGTGAAGAATACCTGGCACACAGTAAGCACTGAATAAACGTTAGCCCTTGGTGTTGCTCTTGTAATTGTTGTTATTACAGTTTCCACTGTATTTTATAATCTAATCCTTTTCTACAAATGTGGTATATATGAGCCAAACCATATTCAAGGGGCCTGTAAACAATATGAAATTAGTTTACAAGCAACCCTCTACAAAAATAGAAATTTAAACATTAAAGTTTGTTGAATTGGATGGAAGGAAAATAAAAGCCGAAGGTTACAGTATCAAATAGGCCCCCTATAAGTTAAATGATGTTCTTGTTTGTATAGCATAACAGTGATTCCAGTGCAATGGCAAGAATTTTTGTCCATGTAAAAGGCTTTACAGACCTCAGGATGTAGAATCTATCTTCCAGGCTTAAAATAGCTTCTTTCATAATTTTTTAAACATATGCATTTCCATGCGGGACAGCGAGGGCGGCTTTATTACCCACATTTCACAGTTAAATAGTGAGTTGTATCAAATATCGTGGGCTACGCATTTTACCCTAATCAGGTGGAATCAACAAATATATATTTTATATTTCTGTTCGTATATTCGCAAGAGTATTTCTTTGTTTAATAAAGCCCACAGTGTGGCTGGTAATTGGAAACGCTGACTGAACCAGGTTCCCTTGTACAAAATGCAAGGCTTATGAAGTTTCATTGTAGCTGAGTCACAAAAGCCCTTTTAAACAAATTAATGGCCACTGATGGAAATAATCTGATGGCGTACCCACAAAACTTCAGTTAGTCATTTCACTAATTTTTTCCCCTTTTCGTAGCACTTGGTCCTTTATTCTACTGTCTTGTCATAGTTTTATGACAACACAGGGTCTTCTATTTACCAGTATTTTTGTGGATTGGTGGTGTATCCTGACACAGTTTTAAAAGTGCAACATAGCAAAAGTCTCGTTAAACTTTGATTAGCATAATCAACACAAAACATAAACCATTGGTAGGATTTCTACTTTCCAGCGTTTAGAAAAGCAGCTTAGTAAGTTGAGAGAGTGTATGCGAAGAGACTATTTTAATATATTTTTGTCTTTATTACGGTCTCTTAAAATATGACTTATAAAATCTTATTTCCTAGTGAGCTCAGATTTGCAAATGGAAAGAGCTAGGGTCCCTCTAAAATCTGGTAACAGATGTGTCTAATTCTGAGTACAGAGGATCTAGAAAAGCAAAGGGCTCTTTTTAAGCTAATATTTTTTAGGTAGACATTCCTCTAGAATAAAAGGGGCAAAAAAAGGCTTTGATGCCTGGTAAAGGCGAGAAATCTCCGAGTGGTGTTTATGATCTTAGAAGAGCTTTGCCTCTTAAAAGATTTAGTGTGAGTTTAAACACACATTCTTGTCAAGCCTGGAGAGTGGGTGATTAACAACTCTTACATCTTAGTGGTTGTTTTTCATTCACATTTAGATGTTTATATTCTTCTAGTCGTTAGGTCTCAGATTTTCTATGGTCTTCATTTATATCTTAGTTTGGATTCCTCCAGAAGCTGGTTCTGAGAGGAGGCTTCAAGAGCAGGTAGTTTATTTGGGAGGTGAAGGAAAATATGGGTAGGGGATTAGGGAAATGAGTCCACGAAGGGAAGGCATTAAAGGGTGGATTATCCAGCAAGATACAACTGTGGACCACTGGGGCCTAGTCCCTCTGGGAAACTCTGGGAAGCGATGTGGAACATGAGCCTCAGAGGCATTCCACATTGCAGGTGAGGGAGCTGGGGTATTGCTACACTAACAAGCCATGGCCTTTGGTTGAGGGCTGCTCACGGGGTTGTCAAAATCCTTGGCACTTCC